CTGAACAACAATTGAGAAAATATAAATGCAGATAAATCAATAATAATTGTCTTCCGTCGCTTAACCCTCGCCCGCACATGCCATTTTCCCATCCTAGAACGCACATGGGGGGGGGGGGGTTGCCACCCCCCGCGCCATTTCGTTCCTGTTGGAGATAAAGCTTAGCGGTAAAGACCAAAAAGATTATTTGGGAAGAGACGAATCCAATGATACCCAGTTTTACCTTCTCAGGTCAGTCATTGACCTTCCAGGTCAGGTCAAACTAAAAAATGTTGCTGTTTTGGGTCACCGTTGGATATCAAGTGTTCTGCTTATCAAATACCGATGATGATGCTGTTTTCTGGTGCCAAGCCAGCTAGAACCTCTTTGTCACACTACCCGACCAAAATTTTGCTGCTGAGGTCATTTCAGGTCAAGTTAGGTCAAGGTCAATTATATGTGTTTGTATGTCTGTGTGTGTCTGTGTGTATGCTGATGTGTGCACCGATTGTTTTTGGGGTCCATATCACATGAAATCATGATCTGAGAAGCTTTTACCAAAAATGCAGTCAAAAAACTTCAAAAAAAGTAAATTCAGCTTGCCTAAAACGCAATTATCTTAGATGACCTAGGTTGACCTTGACCTTGACCTTGACCCCTGTACATCGTCGAACAACATGTTCCATGATAGGTGGGAGGTAAGACTGGCAAAAAAGGCCGAAATCAGGGTGTCAAAAGCTCATAAGGCCCATGGCAAACGCAATATGTTGAGAATTGGCCATTTGGGTCATGACATGACCTGACAAACAAGGTCATATCTCCGAAACCAAAAATCACAGAAACTTGAAATTTTCAGTGGACATCAAGAAAGGATAGAGGAGCAGCTATACGAAAAATCAGCCTTATAGCTCTAAAAATGTTGAGTGCAGAGCAGAAAGACTACCTGGGGGGGGGGGGGGTGGCAACCACCCCCCCCCCCCCCATGTGCGGGCGAGGGTTAAAATAAGAAAACGTAACTTTCGTAGAGTAAATTGCAGATAGTTCAGATACATCGATGAAAAGTGCGTGTATTATTTATGAAAAGCAAAGGTACCTACAAGCGTTATTGTTGAAGGAGCACTTCACTGCGCTAGAACCTGATCAGCATTTGATATATACGATTATGTAAGAGAAGCATCTCTCATATGCGAAAGAAGTGAGAGAAGTATCCTGACAGTTTTTCTTTGGTGCCTGGTAAGTGGTAAGTCATCCTTTGGTAAGCAAATCTGTAACCATTGTTTGTGGTTCTGGTTGTATGGGCCGACAAATCGGCTCAGCGTGTGATGTGTGAGTGCAGCAACTCCGAAACACTCAAATCGCACAAGAGGCGATACATAGCGCGCCGCACAGGCAGCGCTTCTCCCACATATCGCCAATACTGCTGCGGCCCAGCTCGTAAGTAATCGTCTCTGCTGTCTAACACAGCAATACAATTCCCATTATGGAAAGTGTCTTGTCTCGGAATGTTTCAGTACCTACATATATCGACATTAGGTACATTAGCTATGCTTGCAATAATGTCTTATGTCGTGTCTATTTTATATCGTACCTGTTTTACCACTGAGTAATGTGTATGGCGTGTATTGCTGGAACCTTTTCCTATGAATGAAAACTAAGATTTACGATTGATTGATCGAACAATTATGTGAATCGCACATTCCTAGACATCAAAGTTTTACTAATTTCAGCACACAACTGGTGGCTGCCATCTCGCCGTCCCAGCCTCACCCGACGTCGGCTCGGCTGCGTCGCCCGCCTTCCCCCGTCGGCCTCGACGCAGCTGCGTTGGCCGTTGCAGAGCATGACGCCGTGCCGCCGATATTGACGTTTCTGCAGGGCGTCATTTTTGTGCGGCTCGTGCCGTTTTTACCGCGGTGCGCCCGTTTTCCGAGCGCCGCGCCGGCGTCTGGTGGCCTGTGATTGGTCGTCGGGCTCGACAGCCGGCCCGCGGGGCAGACGCGGCGCGGGGAAAAATGGAGCTCGGAGGGTGGTCGGTTGTTAGTATGCAGAAGGCGTCGTCAGGGGACGCGGCGCCGAGGGGAGCGTTTTATGAGGTCTGCGGAATTTCCACAGAGATGAGTCGCAAGTTTTGCGCCGCGCAGCCAGCCGGCCGAGATCGATGGCGTGCCGTTTTTGGCGCACATATTGCCGCCGTGGTGAGAAACTATAGCAGCAGTCGGGTCATCGTTTGTCTTACGAGCAGCCAAATGAACTTGATTCGCCGATTTGGCAGCATGGCGGCTCCTTCACCCACAAAGACGGCTGCCAAACCAATTCGGCGTTATTTCTGACTTTGCTCATTAAGGAAAATTTGAACGTGCATGAGTTGGTCGACCTTTGAGACGTGGGCGCACTGAGGCAAGTTTCGCCGAACCACTGTGATGAGAGAATTTAATTAGATCCCGCCCTGGAGTGGACAAGTTTCGCCGGCAGGACGAAACATCGGGGAAATATGGAGACTCAGCGACGGTGCGGGTAACGATACGATTACGTAATGTGCGTAGTATAAATTCCGAGCAAATTAAACAATGTAACTTCCAAAAAAAAAAAAAAACTTGTCAATAATGGTTTACAATTCTTCTGTCATTGAGATGTGTAATTTTACACAGAGAGGAGCTTGTTCAATGCCCATATTATTATGATACGGTACGGTATAAATCGTCAAATAAGATCCAATGGACAAAAAAAATGAACAACTAAACTGGACAATTTTTTTTTATTGTTATGCCAGGCAGCTACTTTTTCAAACGTAATATAAACATTGAACACACAACAGATATTACCCAGCATTTTCAAGCCATTGAAATTGAAGCTCTGCCAATGAAAGTAACGCACTGATAATGAAGTGGAATGCAGCATCCACGCATTCATTGCTATCAACGTCAGGCTAAAAGCAGTAGATGGGTTCTGTTGAAATGTTTGTGAGCTGTCGCGAATAATACACTGCTTCATAAGAGCTCTTCAAGTTGTTTCAAGCTACGTCCTATTATGGAAAATAAACGACAAACACTCACGAAGTGAATGACAGTGCAGTTCAAGAAAATGAGAAATGAAAGCGGTTTCATTGTTGTTAGTATAATTTTGTGTCACAGCATATGCTCCGCTTGCACTAGAGAGAAACCCATGCGTACATAGTTGATATAGCGATGAACATACAAGCACACAAATAACACGAGGTCTTAGACCATTTCTTCATTCAAACTTCTGTAGAAGCTTAAAACAGATATCCCTTTTTTACCGACCCAGCTTTCAGACAGGCTCAATATGCCGGCACCCCACCTCAGCTCACAAATCCTCAACCCCATGCGAGACTCCACACTCCCGCTACATTGCTTCTCAAGTGAGTGTGTTTATTCCTCAGAACGAGAGCTCCTCTGGCAGGGGCCAGAAGCGGTCTCCTCATCATCGACACCTGCTATCTTCACACGCGCACCTCTCAAAGGAAGCATTGTGTCGGCACCGGCGGCGGCGGGCCGCCCCTCAGCCCTCTCCGGCTCAGTCTGTTCCGCCCCCGGCCCGACAAGGCTGCCAGGACAAAAGGTGGCGCCACTGAGACGAATGCGGCACGTTTTCGGCGAGTGTGATCAATCCGACGCGTCGACATTGTCAGATCTTTCTGTCGCGGACGATGAAAGAGACCGGTCCTGGAGGGACGGTGTGTTCAAAGGAATTTGAGGAAGGTGGTTAGAGTGGGTTCTGGACCTGCGGTTTTGAACTGCATATCATTGTTGAGAGACGATTTAGGTCTTTGGAATAGTGAGGTTAGTTTCAAATAAAGTTTTATTGATAAGAGAGTATCACGATTGACAAGAGTTGGTTCCTAAAACTGGTGCAACTTTCGATACTTTAAAACTTCTGAACGAGCTTTGCTTCAACTCGGTGACAATCGACGCTCCTGTCGTGTACCTATTGATCAGTACATATGACGCATTAACCCTCGCCGGACCTATTGGTTTTCTACATACGCGCCGGCCGAGGGGGGGGGGGGGGCGGGTACGACCCCCCCTCGCCGTTTCGCCCCTGGTGGAGCTAGCGCGTCGCGGAAAAAACGAGCGTGTGCGCCGTTACGAGACGCAGAGAATGGTACCCGATTTTAAGGTCCTAGGTCAACCGTTGACCTCTGAGGTCAGGTCAAGTGCCCCAAGGTACGGTTCAGTTTTTGGTGAATAACTTCGCAAAAAACGGCCGCAGAGCCGCGATTTTGGCGGCATCGTGTTCGTCGTGCTCAGGCGCGCCGAATGATATACTTTTTGTCCGGGTCAGGTCAACTTGGGGTGTTGACCTCAGGTCAAGGTCAGGTCAGCACCCCCAGGTCACGAAGTTGGTCGAAAGAGGTCATGTCGCATATCATTCGATTCGGCAGGTCTTCCTGAGTCCATTGATGGCTTTCCCGACTCGCTAGCTCCATTTGATCAAGAGGTATTGACGAAAAACTAATATGACCTTGATGACGTCATAAATGACGTCACGCAAGGTCAACATTGCAAAAGTGACGCATCTAACCTTGCAAGGAGTGCATCAAATCACGATTCTGTGTGCTTGAGATAGTTGGAGATCGTTCCCGGCGCCAGAATAGCAGTTTTCATTTTTCCCCATTGACTTATAATGGTGAGGTCACGAAAATGACCTGACCTCATATGACCTTTAGGAAAAATCCGAGATATACAAAGTGTGAGACTCATAATGGATACTAGATCCTGCAAGTTTCATTTCCCTGTGACATCTCCTCTGGCAGTGAGGGCGTTGCAAAGTTGCGACATCTGAAGACCGTGCAGAGGTCCACTTATGACGTCAAAGGTCAGTGACCTGACCTGACCCAAAAATGCCGTTGGTGTCAAAAGATCCGGCTTGAATCAACGGTCAGGTATGCCAAGTTGCAGCTCTCTATCGTCAGCGTGTTCGGAGCTATCGCGAAAAAAACCCTATGGGGGGGGGGCACCCGCCCCCCCCCCCCTCGGCCGGCGAGGGTTAAACAAACTACGGTAAGTAAACTTTATATTTGGCCATATTATGCAAAACGTCAACAATTATAGGGTTTGACAATTGTAACAGTGCAGGACTGAACATTCATTTTGTGCATTAAGATAATGCATTAGATGCATCATAACTTACTACATTTACTAAATGCCTCCAATTCTCTACATCTGCACACTATCACTTGTATTTACAATGCTCAGTACAAGTCAACAATAAATCTAAGCTGAAGAAAAAAACAATAAACCTAAATTCAGACCAGCAGCAACACCATAACTCGCTGTCCATGAGGGACAGCTGCTGATACCTTGTTACATTTTGCACTTCCGGTGATGACTATTCACGTTTCAGACTCTCAACAAGGCAAACAAAGAAGCCTCAAAGCAGCAGTAATTTCCCATGCAACAAAAATAGGTGTTGTTATCTACAAAATTGTGGTATGAGAACAACCACAATAACGCACCCTCTGCAGGCGTCTTCGCTCTTCGATGCTCGCAACGCTCTATAAAAAAACAATGCTTTATCAAATACTCTTCCTGCACCATATCATATGCAAGGGTAGGTATGTTCCATGACATTCACAGTTTAGTTTTCATCTCGAGTTCCAAGACCAGACCTTATCACTAACGAAACAGGTCATTCCAGGTCACCCACACTCGGAAGTCTGAATTCAGACTATCCTCTCAGCTCCATGTCTACGAGTACACTCTCAGGTCGCGATACAGGCCCTGCTCGGGTCAGGGCAGGTGCCATTTAGGCCGTGCACCAGACTCCAGCAATACTCCGAGTAGGGACCGGTTGAGCCCGGTGTCTGCCGTAGTCGAGCGGCGTACCACGCCAGAGCCACGCTGCAAACGAGGAGAGAGAGAGAGAGAGAGAGAGAGAGAGAGAGAGAGAGAGAGAGAGAGAGAGAGAGAGAGAGAGAGAGAGAGAGAGAGAGAGAGAGAGGGAGAGAGAGGGAGGGAGAGAGAGAGAGAGAAAGAGAGAGAGGAGAGAGAGAGAGAGAGAGAGAGAGAGAGAGAGAGAGAGAGAGAGAGAGAGAGAGAGAGAGAGAGAGAGAGAGAGAGAGAGAGAGAGAGAGAGAGAGAGAGAGAGAGAGAGAGAGAGAGAGAGAGAGGAGAGAGAGAGAGAGAGAGAGAGAGAGAGAGAGAGAGAGAGAGAGAGAGAGAGAGAGAGAGAGAGAGAGAGAGAGAGAGAGAGAGAGAGAGAGAGAGAGAGAGAGAGAGAGAGAGAGAGAGAGAGAGAGAGAGATATTTGTCGATCAATACATAGTAGCATATCATCCTGTTACCGTCCTTTAGGTCGATTTACCCCTAAGCTTACTTGCATTTATGTAGCCAATAATGTATTTAGTTGGTTTTACGTGATCCGTCCAGGTAAAGTATGGCGTCGGTAACTTATTTGATCAAGGGTTACGATTTCATCTGCAGGTGAATGCTGAAGAAGCATATATCACACAGAGAGCATTTCGCTGATAATAAAATAGTAATGAACCATACGAAAGTCATACGTGGATGCTAGCTGTTAGACATAAGAACGTGCAAATACTTTATTTCCCAATAAGTCCAGCATTTAATTAGCAAATAAATAAGGCATAGTGAACGCTCATGACAATAATCCACTCGAACTGGTGTTGTTTGCCTTTATAGAAACCAATGTGGTCTGCCGTTTGCATACCTTTCCACGCTGTTAAATACATACAGCCATCCATGCCTGACATGGATAAGCACGTTTACAGACTAACGGTATTGTAATACACACCTACCGTTATTTTTATACGATGACCACGAATTACTGGTCATTTTTCAACGCCCCATACCCTTAGCTCCCGAGAGACGCCATCAAACGTGCGAATTCGAGCGTCCATATCCATGCTAAATAGTAGGTATGGAAGCGAGCCCAGGCACGACGCCCATGCTAAGTAGCAGGTATCGGCGTTCATTCAGGAGCCGGATTCCTCACCTGGCCAGTTTGATGGGTGTTCTCGTCTGAGCAGAGGCGTGACCAGCTGACCTGGTGACCTGACACAGCTGGTGAGCCACGCATTGGTCGGGGGCGGTCAGAGCGATCAGCATCTGTCGTGCGGCTGAATTCAGCGCTGTGTAATCGACACCTGTGAGAAGACATAAGCAAATGACGTGTTAAAAACATGATGGAGCGGCGAGAGCACCTGGTGACACGCGAGAAGCGGAAGCAGGTGTTTTCTAAGGGATGGATGCGCTAGGTAAATATGTATATCTTTAACCCTCGCCCGCACATGCCATTTTCCCATCCTAGAACGCACATGGGGGGGGGGGGTGGTTGCCACCCCCCCGCGCCATTTCGTTCCTGTTGGAGATAGAGCTTAGCAGTAAAGACCAAAAAGATTCTTTGGTCTTTGAAAGATCAGCCTTCTAGCTCTAAAAATGTTGAGTGCAGAGCAGAAAGACTGCCTGGGGGGGGGGGGGTGGCAACCACCCCCCCCCCCATGTGCGGGCGAGGGTTAAAGGTTGATGCAGATGATGGAATTACAATTAACCAAAAGTTACTTTGCTTGTGATGACACTGCTACAAGAGCAAATGCTTTATTTATTTGTAAAAAACAGATTAGGATTTCAAAGTGCTCTTAAACTGCTGTATTGGCCATTCAATACCGTTCAATGCCATTCAATAAAAAAATTTAAAGAAAGCTTATTTGAATTGTCATTTGAAATCTCATAGTGTGATACAGAGTCATATTCGGTGCCAATTTTATTCGCTTTGCTGGTTCTAAGTATCAGTTTACAGGCGAACCTGGCGAGACAAACATTCAGGAAACCGGTAATACCATTACTCGCCGCCCGCCGCGGCCCCTGCATAAACTGGGCTAGACTGTACCGCAGCACTCGCCTGCCCCGCGGCGCAGTCTACCTTCCAGGCTAATAGCGCGGGCGCACTCGTGCGCTGCAGTCTCCCGTCGGGAATGTCTTCATGTTCGGAGACTGGGCGTGTGCCGAGAGCATTGTGCACGCTGTGGTCATCAGTGCACGAGCTGGCGATGAATATCGGTGCACAGTGGTCAGAGGGTCGGCGGTGGGCGCGCCTGTGCACCGGGCTCACCCCAGAGGTCGACCGTTCCGGGCCAGTGATCACGGCGTCTCGTGCTGCGCGTGCGGCCGGAGCATCCGTAATGAGCACTGACCGGTGACCTGCAGTAGCCTGGATACAATCTCGGAAACCACCGAGACTCAGCCGCTGATACAGAGAAAGATGTATTATAGTGAGCTGACGGGAAAATGGGGCTTTCCGGGTGGTATGTATCGGTTGGCTCGTTAGCACTGCTATTGAGGAACCGCAGGGCCATTCGTCACGGGGCTCGAGCGGAGTAATAACAGGACACGTGCACTGCAATACACGCGAGGCGGAAATGATAAATGGAAGGCGGTTTTTACGGTTAGTGGGCGATGATCTAGAGATGTGTCTTCAATCACTAATTGTTTTAGCACATCTATTTGCGAATAACCGCGAGGTGGAACGGACAGAAAAGCTCACCATGTCAAATATAGTGCGTAGTCAGAAACTGGCCAAATATACTCGTAAGCCACGGCTTTTACCCGTTTATCGACCCATGGGATTTCATATAGCAATGGCCTGATCGACGTCTTCCAGTGATCAGTCCGTCAATAGTAAGTAATCATCGATTCCCATCAAAATTAATAGCTCAATTAGCCGCCTCAACTATCATTTACGGGTGCACGCAAAAGTCGCATGTACACACTTCGTTACTTTTGATAAACAAGCATAAATAGATGCCCACCGAGTCTAGCTGTTTATTCCATAGTCAACTCCAGGCAGGGTAAGATATGGCAGTGCTAGGTTACAGAGGAAAGCAATTTATCTACTTAGCCGTATGCGCAAGATGAGTTGTATGGAGTGACACTCGCGTAGTCAGTTGCATAGAAGCTATCACCTCATTTTCAGCGTGTAATAATATGCAAATATGTGAGAACACAATTTTGAAGTTTTGTGATTTGAGGTTAATTTGTACTTTGAAGTTTTCCGCTGAAAGCAAATTCCTTTGAATGCCACTGAATATTATAACATCATCGCTCCTAGAAGTCAAATCTCTTTTCCTTTCAGGAAGCAGCCATTGGTAGAAGAGCCAAGAAGATAACGTAATCTTTACTAAACAAAGATGTTATTGAAGAAACCAGTTCAGCTGAATAGCACGCGGTTGTTGCCAATGCTTCTGTTTGAGCTTCTACTTCTGAACGTCTCCTATGGAACCACATACAATCTCACAGCCATCGACCATGCTGTAAACACCACAGCCCTAACTGAGTCACCGGGTGGGAGTGTGACCCAGTGCGCAGTCCGCTGCCGTCGCCACCTGGCCTGCGTCTCCATCGAGACATCCTCCACCTCCTGCCGTCTGCTAGCTGCCGTTCCCTCCGCCGACCAGCTGACCCTCTCCCCGGGGGTACGGGTGTTCACTGACGTAGCCGCTCCTCCACCGGACCACCGCGTACCCCACCAGTGTCCCTCCAACTGGCAGAGAGTCGGCAACGCCTGCTACTTGATCATCCCTTCCGACACCGAGTCTGGCTTCTGGGAGGAGGACAGAAACCTCTGCAAGAGCAAGTTCCACGCCGCCACCCTCCTGACCATCGAGTCTGAGGAGCAACTGACGTACATCAAAGGAGCGGTAAGCGGCCGTGCCTGGACTGACATCAGATACATCAACGGCACCTTCCAGCCGGCCGGAGGGTCGCCGCACACCTTCTGGAAGGAGCTCTGGTGCGACGGAGAGCCTCAGCAGAATGATGATGGTTTCGTGTTCTTCCTTCAGGGCCAGGGAGATTGTCTTCATGCGGAGACATATGCTGTCTCAACTTCTTTCCGCATGCCTCGTACGAATGTCGTTTGTGCCATCTATGCAGGAAACTAGTGGTGGTTTGAGGGACGAATCAATCACAAAATGAGTGTGTAAATCCGTCTCCTTTTTCACGCCATTTCGTCTTCATATGAGTGGTGCGTGAAAAACTACTCACATGTGCAGAATTTCGATAATGCAGGCTACGGTGTGACATTTTGTTAGGATTGTATGTTTTCTTTGCGTGTGAAACAGTGTGAAAGAATGACGTTTATGACTTCACAATACTCATCAATTATGCTCGGTTACGTCTAACATGTAAATGCTACCGTCTGTAATACGAGTATATGTCTTTACAATAAACGTGCTACAAGATCAGAATGAGATTTAACCCTTGCTAACAAATGATGCACAGCAATTGTTTGAACATTCAATAAACGGCTAATCATATTGGACGAAGCTGGTTTGGAAGATGAAAAGAACTAGAACGCTAAATGAGTTGAAAATGAAACTGAACGTTCCGATACAGATATGTCGATAGTGCCGCTTTCGTGGGTTCACTTCATTGATTACCACGATCTTAATCAGTTCACACAACCGGTAGCTGGTCAGAATCCATGACCAAACCGATGAACCGTTTACGATAAGGCATCTTGAATAGGTACACGTGAGTGCAATTAGCCACTATTACGTGTACATAACACTTTCGCTCGATTCGTATTGCATGGCTCATTCACTCCCAACAGACCATGAAGCTAAGGTCAGGCGTGAAATTAGAAGCCGTGCCAAAATCATGATAGGAGCATGTTCGAGATCATCTGAAGCGTGCCATTATCTTTTCGTGCTTGAAGAGAATAAATACAGACTGGAAAGAAGTGTAACAGGTCATGAACGTGAATAGCGATTACTAGCTACCTAGTGGCACAGCGATGAAACAAATACATATATGAATAAGCCTATGACTGTTTTTCTTCTACCATTGTCAGCCAGTGCATAAAACGCCGCTATCGCTGTATAAAATCCACCTCTTATGTGAATCAAAGCTTTCGCGAGTCAAGTTCTCAAGTTTCTCACATTTATCTTTCCCTGAGTACCGTACACGTTCCTCTCACCTGCTCTCAAAGCTCTCTCACCTGTATCTGATGATCTTGCCCCGGCCATGGCCATTGCCGCCTGCGCCAGAGCGTAGGCCACGATAGCAGCCAGTGCAGAGAAGCCGGCCGCCGGTCCAATCAGACCCTCCAGGCAGTCTCCTCCAATCCCTCGTCCGGTGACACCTCGCTGCGTCCACTGACTGCTCCTTCGGGTCTCCAAGACATCCAGGCCCCCGCAGGCCTTCTCTAGAAGCGATTCGAGCACGACATGCTCGGGAAGTCTGTTCTGGATGACGCTCATCATGGGCATCCATACGGAACTACGAGCGGGGGCGGCAGCAGCCTGCTGTTGGAGGTAGTAGTAGAGAGCAAACGCAGCCAGCGCTCCCAGACCCAGAATCATGCTGAGGGTGTCCAGGTCGCTGCAATCGTCCCCGTACCCGTAGCTGTCGGAGCGTTCTATCGGAGCTGCCGCGGGGTCCGTGTGCTGGGCGGCTGGCTGGAGGTCGTGGGCGGGCTGGAGTGGGTCTCGGCGGCCCTCGCGGAGTGCTGAAGCGGTACGTAGCTCACGCAGGTAGGCATCGTAAGCAAGCTGTAGTCGCTGGCTGGAATAGTCGAGTCTGGAGGCTGGAGACCGCGGCGGAGGCACAGTGTAGGTCTGGGTGGACGGGCTGCGGCTGCCGTAGATGTTGCCGTAGTCGAGGCTGCTCGTGTCGTAGCTGGAGCGGCTCGAGTAGTAGCCCGTGTTGGAGTTGGAGTTGTAGTTGGAGCTGCCGCCGTAATCCGAGCGATGATAGAGCTGTCCGGCGCTGGCGGTGATCACCGCTGCCAATATCACTCCCCCGATGATAGTTCCTGCCATGGTGATCGGTCCCCACTCGACACTCAATACCGTGTTCTGTCTGCCTCGAGCTGAGCTCAACTGCGCTAGCTCCGCCGCAGCTGCCACCTGCCGGCCGTACGGCCAACAACACACCGGGTAACATGTATACCAACATGACCTATATCGGTACCGCTAGATCCCTGCACGGCCCGGCGAGATGTGGGCCAGGAAGTGTTTGAACATAGCGGCAGTGGCCGGCGGCTTGTCGTTCACACTTCACGGTTGGCCGGTCAGCCGTGTGCAGCGTGCAGTGACCGCAGGGGTCGCGAGCCTGTCCGCGCAGGGGCCCGCTATAGGGGCGGTCAGCAGCCGTGGGACGGTAGACACCCGTCCACTACCGCAGCTCCCACGCGCTCACTGGGCGTCACTCGGGTGTGGAATATGACGGCGGTAAATGATAACTCAGGTGCGCAATACGGCGTTGTTTGACTCGTCTTGCATAGATAGATGGGCATCAGTGCGTAATGACAGTCCATTACGATACGTTTGGCCTTTGGTTTGCATAAATACCGGATATTTCGGTAAGCTATACGACAGGTGTACGCTGTAAAGCCATTCGCGGTTAGCAGACCATCTATCACGCTTGACAAGCGCGAACACACGTGCCACCTAAACACCGTTGGTCGCTGACAGGCTGGTCAGACGGTCCAAGCGGTAACCAATAACGTCTGAAGGTTTCCCGCTGTGGTCACGACAGATTGACCACAGCCTTTCCAGCTGTGACCGGTGAAGCCTTCGTCTGGCAGAGTAACGGACCCAAAGAGACTGTCGGCCTGTGTGCTACCTCCTCTATTGCAATCAAGGTCCCGTGACGCGCCACACAGTCGAATGCTAGCCAGAGACACAACAGAAGTAGCAGGGGACAGGGGTGGGTTGCTTGTCGTTGGCTTGATCGGGGTTTTCAGACACAGGACTTGAGTGGACGTGCATAAAACAGGAGACGAACTGTTTAACTCGACCTGATGCTGTTTGACACTTCGATCGGGATCTTGAATCCCATATTTTTATTATTAATGGCACATGCAATGCAAGACAAACATGGACGTCTGTGTGCAGGCTGTTACGGATATGTTTTCCATTGCGATGGCTTATTGAAACTGGCGCACGGAAGGCACTTTAGATGGCATTGACTTATTTATAATTTGAGGACCTTTTAATGCCAATCAAAAAGACTTGCATTAACCCTCGCCCGCACATGGGGGGGGGGGGTGGCAACCACCCCCCCCCCCCAGGCAGTCTTTCTGCTCTGCACTCAACATTTTTAGAGCTAGAAAGCTGATTTTTCGTATAGCTGCTCGTCTATCCTTTGTTGATGTCCACTGAAAATTTCAAGTTTCTGTGATTTTTGGTTTCGGAGATATGACCTTGTTTTTCAGGTCATGTCATGACCCAAATGGCCAATTCTCAACATCTTGCGTTTGCCATGGGCCTTGCGAGCTTTTGACACCCTGATTTCGGCCTTTTTTTGCCAGTCTCACCTCCCACCTATCATGGAACATGTTGTTCGACGATGTACAGGGGTCAAGGTCAGGGTCAAGGTCAACCTAGGTCATCTAAGATAATTGCGTTTTAGGCAAGCTGAATTTACTTTTTGTGAAGTTTTTTGACTGCATTTTTGGTAAAAGCTTCTCAGATCATGATTTCATGTGATACACTGTAAAAAATATTGACTAGCCCCTCGTCAAATGATTCTCAACGCTAAATGTCGGGGGTACAGACTAGTTTTGCATCCTACTTTTGACACACGCTGCGAGCCCCTGGCTTGTTTTGTGTTCGTCAGATGACAGTTACCAGGTGTCGGTTAGTTTTTACCACGTCCCAAAAATAGCTGGAGCGTTTCTGCCTTGTTTTGGAAGCAGGTCCTCGTTAATGCTGTGTATGATAACAAAGTACCTAGTAACAATAATAACGAAAAACAATGTCAAAACGAGGGTGGCTTGTTTAGTGACGATGCTCAAAAGAGGCATCGTCTTGTTCCTACTTAACGAATGAAGCTCAAACTAGGTCAAAACTAACGTATTGCTCAACCCATAGTCAGATGACCAGCAGATCCTACGCCGCCCAATCCAGTCATCGAATTTGCCAGCGAATTCGTTTGAAGACCATCATATTATTAAATATCGGTGGTCTTCAAACGAAATCCCTTACCAGTTTGATGACGAATTCATCCGGCCCATTCCAAAAACGCTCAAGATAAAATGAAAGTGTATTTCTGAAATAATGTGCTTTCTTGCAATGCACCTTTCGTATATCAAGCGAACCTTTCACTTCCAGCGCCCGTTTACAGTTATCAATCGAATCAGAAGCATGCACATACCTATCGATACATCTGAACCTAAGAACACAGAAGACATTTTGTAGAGTACCTGTCTGAGCCTATGCAGTGGAGCCCGTGAGCCGCCCAACCGCAGCTGCCTCATGAACTTGATGATAGGTCTGAACCTCAGATTGGCCAGAGCTTGGCCGTCAATAACCAGCTTATTTATATCCACAGTTGTAGTGACTTAGGGTTTGGAATTTGCCAAACCTAAGTTTTGATTACCAAGAGAAGTTTTGCTTCTTGCACTTGCCTTTTCTTCATAACTTTGGCGGAAATCGTCGTAGTGAAACTTCAGTGTTCCGTTAGCTGTCGGTTCTTGAGAGAGTTGGCCAGGCCGGACACCGCGGGGGCGGCTCCACAACTTTCGAAAAATTAAACCTAAGTCCTATTGCACTGCATGGAGAGCAATTCATTTAAAATCGCTCTTGTTCCCCCCCCCCCCTCGACAACTTTGCAAACGTCTCCGCGCAATTTGGTTGAGAATAATGGCTTATGGCAAGTTATTGAACCAGAACGTCGATCACTGCAGGTCATATATCGGCAAGCAATTCTTCATAACTAGACACTGCTCAAATGGAAACGATACAGGTTTGCCCAGTGATAAACACTCGCACTGCACAGACGCGCACACCCCCGACCGAACGCGGCACGGCACAGCGCAACTGGCGCCGGGAAGCCGGGAACGCATTAAGTGAAGGATTCACAGGTGTGCAACTTTATTGCGAACAATAAAAAACCTACCGCAAACGATTAAAAAAAAAAGCTTTAGGGCAATCGGAAATACAAATGTATTGACTTATAGAAATAAAATTGTCATTCACCTTCCAAATAGCCTAACAATTTATTTGCCGTAAAAAGTGTCTGGAAATGGAAAGTTGCAAACATGATTCAGCAAGTAGGGAAACGCAGCAGCTACCTGGCGAATAATCTCAGGCTGGTTTAGTGACGAGTGCATTGCTACGGCTTGTTCCTCACCCTTCACAGATTACTATGACAAAACTACCCCTAGTATTTTGATCATCCTGAGCCTGGCTTTCACCTAATAATTTGATGAGGGTCTTCCTCGTTTCGGATTGAGGCGAAAACAAACGTCAGACAACCTTGATAGTTAATTCAGCACTTCAAAACAAAGGTACACCTAGGGTATCATTACAATACCGGATCATAACGATCTGGATAGTTCTCAGCCTGTAAGCTAACTAAGCGGTAACTAGTCAAGTGGTAGGTACCGGAAGCATTGACAACCTGGTGACTGTTTCGAGACCCTTGTTTTGACACATAGCTCGTCAATATTTTTTACAGTGTATGGACCCAAAAAAAATCGGTGCACACATCAGTATACACACAGACACACACAGACATACAAACACATATAATTGACCTTGACCTAACTTGACCTGAAATGACCTCAGCAGCAAAATTCTGGTCGGATAGTGTGACAAAAAGGTTCTAGCTGGCTTGGCACCAGAAAACAGCATCGTCATTGGTATTTGATAAGCAGCGCACTTGATATCCAACGGTGACCCAAAACAGCAACATTTTTTAGTTTGACCTGACCTGGAAGGTCAATGACTGACATGAGAAGGTAAAACTGGTTATCATTGGATTCGTCTCTTCCCAAAGAATCTTTTTGGTCTTTACTGCTAAGCTCTATCTCCAACAGGAACGAAATGGCGCGGGGGGGGGGGGTGGCAACCACCCCCCCATGTGCGTTCCAGGATGGGAAAATGGCATGTGCGGGCGAGGGTTAAATTCTCGTCCACTGCTCCTTGCTCAAAACATCCGTTACTTCACGGATGAACAGTCAGGAACATAATCAGTGACCCAATCTATGTGTACACACGTGTGCAGCCGTCTAATGCAATGCTAATAAGTATTCGTCCATCAAATATGCCAGTAATCTCTGCAAAGAGGAGAGAGCCGTCCGATGTTGACTGGACAACTCCTAATCGTCAATGGTAAACTATTTTACGAGTGAATGGTAGTTTTATTAGGTAAATCTTCTAAGTTTTCGCGTCAATATCTCTCTGAAGACACATAAATGTACATGAAATCTACCGCGAAAAAAATACGAAAATCAGCAGGTAATACTTTGAGTTACGAGGGTGTACTCGTAAACAAAATTGTGACTGAAACGTTACCGGGCTGATTCCCGCCTCAACCGGAAGACATCTTACGCTTATCAGTGTTCTAATTGCCATTATTATGGCTCGATTAAAGAGATTCTCCATTTATACTAAAAATGTATGCGCTGTCGTTTAATGAAAGCAATAAGAAAATTCGCAGGTAACTTTTTGAGGCATGAGCGTGTGACCACAAAGAAGACCTCATCTGGCAGATTTGACTTGGTTTGAACTCATTTGATCTGGAAAATATTGACCTAATATCATGAAATTGACACACAATCAAGTTTCCTACCACCTCCACCCACCCTATAAATTTTTTGCTTCTTTGTTCCCATAGGAGCTGAGATCTTATGGGGGGAGGGGGGCGACATTCGCTCCCCCTTCCACTGGGCGTAGGTCTTGGAACCCTTCTACTCCTCGTGCGGTTAAATGATCGAAAGGCCATCGTAGTGCTTTTAAAGGCTTTTCATCATCACCTGCCACTTGCATCAAATCCAACCAAAAGATTTGAGGATGGTTTTTATAGGCATGTATTCATATCTTCTTTAGAGCGATTGCACAATTTCTGTGCGTTTAGTGAAACATTTCACTAACACCATGTAAATAATAACAGACAAAATACTCCAGGCAAAACAATAACAACAACGTACATATGCACTGTCATGCTTTCGTTGCAGCAAAAGCGAAATACCGTTTACTCCATAAGACACATTTGATGCCCATGTAATGCACATTACCTGCAAACTTGAACAATTACTCAGCATATCAGCAATTCATCAACACCCATGGAGCTCACTCTCGAGCCCAATCACCGGTAAAACAATCTACACAACGATCTTGTCTGAGTAATTTCGAGAGTAAAAGCACGATGTGTAATGTGCTGAACATCGCTGATTTCTCCGATATGGACACTCCGCCGGGGAAACTCATCGTCTCGACCCCGCGGCGTCGACCCTGACCCTGATCGGTCACACTTCAGCTCCTTTGGATCGCTGATCCCATCTGCAACGTCTTCTCCCTCCAGCTACAGCCCGGGTACAGGGCGTCACAGCCGCCTCTGCTGTGGACGTCACCGATGGCGCTGCACAAGTCGTTAAAACTGTGCCGAGCAGTGGACGAAAAACTCAGGAACCAAGAGATGGGTAGCCTGGAAAGGCAGGTGAAGTCAGTAGGTGCCGTGAAATCAGATGATCATCAAAAGACATAAGACTGTTGAGGTTTCATCAAGGACAACATTTCATTCATCTTTCTCAATTGAAGACCGAAAGTATTCACACGAATAACTAATAACAGTCTGACCTTTTGACCTTATCCCCGTCGCATTGAATCACTGAGCTAATCAATCCAAAGACCAGGCCCTTTGAGCTCTCTTCCCCAATCGGTTTACCCCTTTGATCCCACTACTTCAATCAGTGTGACCTTCTGAGCTTACCCTGCCAGTTTGACCCCTGTGTAGATCTGCGGCGAGAGATCCTCTGCATCCTCGTTGATTCTGCAGAGTCGGAGCGGAACACACGGATCCTCGTTGTCCATCATCAGCTTCAGGTAGCGACTGATGAAGTGGAGTCCCTCCATGTTGAACGTGCCGTCAAAGAGGCCGTCTGTGAAAACAAGAGTTACGCCGTCTTGTGAGATGTGGAAGGAGCGTGAATGTTGAGCGTCTTTGGCAAAGTACGCAAAGTTGAAAAGCCTTTTGTGTATTCCACTAGAGTCGACTATGCTCAAAAGAAGCGATTACAAATATAGTTGAGATGATACAAGTATTGCTTTCATGTGATATCATCGCACCGCTAAATTTTGGAACGCATCGAACGAGCTGAACAGGCAAAACAACAGCGGATCCAGATTTTTGGCAAATTTTTATTTTTACGGCCGCCAACTTGGGGCGCCGTCTGTGAGCTGCCGTCTGTTGTTGAGCCCGCGGCCCGTTCTTTTTCTCAGAGCCTCTGGATGCGCTGTTGTCTTACCATTCGGCAAGGATCGGGCAGCAGCTGCTGCCGCCGCCTGCTGGAGCGCAAACGCGGCCAGCACAGCCAACGCAGTGAAGCCGGCCAGCGCTCCCACCAGGCCCAGGAAACAGTCGCAGAAGCCACCCTCCTCCTCATACTGTAACACAGCGGCGTGACCCGGTCAGAGGTCAGAGGTCAGGGTCACGGAGGGGCTCACCAGAGGGCAGACTCCTGGCCGCCGCCGCCGCTACCGCCTGCTGCAGAGCGAAGCCGGCGATCGCGGCGAGTGCGGCAAATCCGGCTAGCGCGCCGATAATGGCGCGGAAACAGTCGCAGTCAGCCTCGTGATCCTTGTACTGGTGGCAAGAGTTATGGGTTAGGGTTTTGCATCATGCAGGGATAAGGGCTGACGTCAGATATTTGACAGGATTGATGGGCAATAAGAAAACTGAGAAAAGAAACAGATCGAAGCCGAGACGTCCTGGATCCTGATTGCGAAAAAAACGTGTACGGTACGGTGCTAAACAGAGAAGGAGCAAGTGGAATGATACCAAATGTAGGAACACAACAGTTTTAGGAGGAAAACCAGAATGACAGCTTACATTGACATTCGTTCAAGCCATTACGCCGTGATTAGCAAATGTTGCATATTTGAACTGCTGCAGCTAAACAAGCAAGACAAGTAAATTAAGCACACGAAATAATACATCCAAGACCGCGCCTCATAACCATCCTCCCTTCCATGGACACTCATCCTTACCCCAGATCGAGCTCCGATGCCGTAAGCCCTGCTCCACGTCAGTTCGCCGTTCTCCAGCATCCTGGACAGACGGCATGTTGTCGTCACCGCCTTCCCGGCCACATCCTGCTGCGGCATGGCCAGCTTCAGGGCCTGCGTCAGCAGTGGCGGCAGCTGCGGTGTCCAGTCGACCAGCGCGCGCGCTGCCGCCGCCTGCTGCAGCAGCAGGTAGATGCCGAGTGCCGCCAGTGCCGCGCCGCCCGCTACCACCCCGAGAATGTCGTACTTGGTACAGTCGCACTTCTTGTAGTAGGAGTCGTGACCGTAGCCTCCGCCGCTGGCTGCTGTGTAGAGATCACCGCCGTAGGGGCTGCTGTACTCGCTGCTGTAGCCGTAGCCGGAGCTGCTCTGACGTCCAGAGACCGAGGGAAGAACGGAGGAGGAGGAGAAGGAGGAAGAAGAGGAGGACATGACAAAGACAGGTGAAAAGGTGAGCGCAAGGAAGGAGATGACGGCGGTCTGGAGGGTGGTCATGTTGGTGAGAGTGACGTCGGGTGCGCCGACTGTCTGTGCGGGAACGACCGACGGGATGCGACTGGTCAGAGGTGGTCAGTTGGCAAAGTGCGGGCTCGGCGCCGACCGCAGCGCTGCCCCGCGGAGGCTGCGCGAACTACCCCCGGTCCGCTCGTGGTCAGCGATAAGGTTGGGTGCTCGGTGGTGGTGGGGCGGCAGGGTGCGAATTTACAGTGGTCTCTGGGGCGTGGGGTGTATCGACACGGAGAGCACTGAAGCGTGCAGTTTGCTCACACTGCCCTTCCGCCACGAGCTATCAGGTAGCACCCGAAACCAGGCCAGACCGTTAGATAAGCGCGAGTGCGCAGACGAGACGACAACTCGAGTAAACTCGGGTTTACAGCCCAGCTCAGGCATTAGACATAACTGATATTGGAAAAGTCAACACAGTGAATGCGGACGGAGAGAAGGGAGCCAGCGAAATGTGTTTCTAGAATAAACTGTGTCCTGACATCGACCTATAACTTCCATCCGTGACATTGATGCTACATCAGGAACTAGGGACAGTCTTACACCCACAATGTGACATACTATGTTTCCTGGCGTTTATCTCCTGCAATTATCAGTTAGGAAGAGGTAATAGATAAGTTGTTTGAAAAATAGAGTTGATACGACCTAGTTTACGTGACAGGTGCATATCATTTGTCACAAATCTCTACTGAATTTCTGAGGCTTACAATCCTTTGCAATTCAATGTGCGCTCAACCTCCTCAATTCGGGGCGCAGTGCAGCGACTGTGCTATTGAAATATCTAACTTTGTTGAATACCAGATGGGCGAGTGATAGGTATGACTACTGTACTCGTACCTATATGTACGGTGATTAGCAATAGATTTGTTATGACGCAATGAGCACATAGTCTTCGCCTGCTACATTTCGCAGGCCACATAAACGACATTTCTAGCATTAATTTTTTTAGCATAGCTTATGTGCTCACTTTTATCTGAATGCAAAGCATCGCTCAGCCAGGCTCAAAACGAAGAGCTTGGGGAGAAAATATATGGGCAATACTAAGAAGCTACAATCCTGCATAACGCTTGTCTGTGTTGAATTGGTTGACTTGATGGGCTTAGGCACCTGTCTAACCTGAGCCTTGAATTTTTCCTGCCCGGCTTCTCTGTCGACGCTTTCAAGCTCTTTGGTCTCCGTGTATCGTTTACCTTTTCATGAGCCTTCTGATGCCAAGAAAGAGGCTGTCATCTCTTCGCATCACGACAGTGCTGGTCCTGACCGGTCGGCAAGTAGAGACGACCGGCTACTATCGCAGCTATCGGGTGAACGTTTTGAGCCAGTCGTTCGGTGACCTGACCCGGCAGTGACCTGACCTGTGGACCGGAACGATCCGGCCATCGAACTGACCGAACGACTCCCACTGGACTGAGAGGACTGCAGTTTCTTAGGGGCAGACGTGCATGGGATACTATGAATACATTTAGGAGACATCAGATGTTTGCCGACAATCAACAAACCTGCACAGTGCACACCAGTGTCAAGCTTCATTGCGCACGGTGTCTAGGAGAAGTTATTTCATCCATTGCCCCTAATGCTGGCAAAAAAATACGATGTTGACAACGATTCACCGTTTGTTGCAACACGGTTTGGCCTATGAAAAGTAAGCGGACTATGAACAAAATTTATTGGCTGTCCTGATCCGTTCCCGAGGCTGCCTTACGAAGAGAACAAACAATAAACACCCAAAGTTGCGTACAATAAATACGGTTATAAGTTTTCCCGTAGGCAGAGCATCGGAATAATCATCATGGACCATGTCATAAACATAATGCCTTTTCATAGAGCGTCCCTACGCTCAAGAGATTGCTCACGTCAAAATGCAGGTTCGTACAGGAATTATTGTTCAGACTTCAGACTATCGCACGGAGCTATGATCTCGTTGGTTATAGATTGAATAACACACCCAGAACAAGCTCAAGGCTCACTGGGTCCATGCCATTTCTCTTCATTCAGAAAACCTAAGTTTCTTTCCACATCGGCCGTATTCTGGTTTGACTAGTATGCGACAATAGCACAAGACTCGGGCATATCCAGTGCCAGCAGATTGGCATCTGAGAAGGCGCAGTAGGCCAGGCCGCGGGAGGCCCAGCAGTCGATGAACTGGTTGACAGTGATCTCAGGAATGTTGAGTGCTAGCGGACTGCAGCTGTCGTCCAGCCACTGCAGAGGAACCGACCAGTAGCCGCCGAACTTCTTGGCCAGGGCGTCCACCAGACCGTAAAAATTCAGGTGGTCGTCGTCGCCAATGAAGTCCTGCAGGAGGCAGCTGACGTGTTTGATGGCGTCGTAATACTGTTCTTTCAAAGTCTCGCTGTTCGGTCTCTGGCCGCATTCCATGTTGGTGTGTCCAGTTATCTCGCCGAAAGCATCCAGCATGCTGTTAGGGCTCATCGGGCAGTTTCCTTGCAGGAAGCTGATGCGCTGTGTCAGACTCACGTCGTCCAGGTCGTCTGGCGTCTGGCTGCGCTGACTTTCGCAGTCGGCAAATAAGGAGAAGCGTGCGCAGAGGTAGCTGTAGACGGCCTGCTGCCGTGGTTTCAGCGCGGCAGACGACATCAGGCGGCAGGCGACGTCCCTGTTCTCCTGGGCGTCATGCCAGCTCGCGTCTTTGGAGTAGGAGAGCAGCAGGCTTTCCTTCAGGGTGACGTTGAAGCATAGGTTTCCGTCAACGGTGTCCACTTGATACCGACTGTGAAGGTGCAGAATCCAGTTAGCTTTAGTTTTTTATCTGTTTTGATATTTACCTTTTGTTGTAGTTCTTATACAGTTTTTTCTTTCTTTCTGGTAACTTTTGAGCCTTGAATATCATTGCAATCATGAACGGACATTTTACTCATGCTCTTGAAATCGTTACATGGTAAGAGATGGTCAGAGAAGCCTAATTGGATAATTTTTTTGTCGATGACCTCCCCATTCGTCGCTCACAAAGTGCTCACATCCACACTTACCTATGAGCCAAACAGTTGTATAACTGCACGAGCGCCGGGACGCCGGCGCACTCGGCAGGCACACCGCCGTTCGTGACTTTGCTGTTGCACTCCTTAGCCGAGTACCATGATGGCGACGAGTTAAAATCCATAGGAAGGCACTGGCGCCACCCCAATACAGCAAAAGTTGACTCCAGACTGTCAGCGTTGTTGATTGTCTGAACAGAGACGCTACCTTTTGGCAAAGATGGGCATTGCAGGGTTATTGAAGACCGAGGAGTAATGTGATCGATAGATTGTGGATACTAGATAGTGAATGTATAAGTGCATGCATTGATATATGTTCCACATCCAATACATTTAGCCGTGCATATATCGCGTCACACACATCGAAGAAAAGTTTTCTGAACTGATAGTCGTCCATAGTTGTTTGAAAAAGCAACATAAAATCAGTAAGCCTTATGATGACTCAATTTAGCTGACAACACTGGAAATACTCGTATTTTACCCTTATCAAAGAGTTGTTTGCTAAACTGGACTTGACAACCGATCACTTCCTTTTCTATCAATTATAAATAAAACACATTTCTAGCAAAGGACCTGCTATGCGTGCATTAGCCCAGTGATATACTTCAAGAGCAATGGCTAACTAATGTAAGCCGTGTCAGTGGTTCTGTGGGTTTAGGGTTTTCCGTCGCTGCATGGACTCACTGGAGCGAGTCTGGGCAGAGCTGCGACCTATCATCAGCAGCCCAGCTCCGAGCGCCAGCAGACTTAGCCGGACCGAGGACGCCATCCCTGCTGCTGCTGCTGCTGCTGCTGCTGCTGCTGCTGATGCTACCTCTGCTGCTGCTGCGAGTGTGCCCAGCTTCTGGCGGTTACTTACGATGAAGACTTGCCACCACTGCGATGAGCCACGTCGCAGCCAAGTGCAACTACTCAAATGTATAGCTTTTATAGGCCGTAGACGCATAGTGACGCATCTCGCGTGCTGGTTCAGGTGCTCGTCACACCACGTATATGTGGAGGTATCGTTCGACGTACCTGCCCTATTTCCTTATGTTGTAACAGTTGTAGGCACATAGGCATCGGCCCAATGCCGTTTTTATCTGTGTTAACCCTCGCCCATGTAGGGGGGGGTTGGTGCAACCCCCCCCCTGAGGTTTTTCGGAAATAGTGCAAAAACGGCGGCGCGCAGCGCCGCCAAATTTTGGGTACCTTATGGGGCAAACCTTGCGCATCTTTTGATAAAAAAATTTGACCGGGTCATGTCAGGTCACGGAGTTATGACGTCACAAAGGGAACAGCCTCCGGCCGGATTTTCACAAACTGAGTGCCAACGCCCGAGGTTTCCTGCCGGTGGTACGGACATCGGTTGATGGATCGTGATGAAACTTCCCATGCATGTTGGGGCAAGTATTGGCTATCATATGGTATGAGAAACTTGACCGGGTCAGGTCAGGTCACGGAGCTATGACGTCACAAGAGGAACAGCGTCCGGTACTATTTTTGAAAAGCGCCCGAACCACTATTTTGCTAATTCTTGTCACCTCAATGGGAATATGCAGCAATATTAGCTTCTATAGGGAGCAAATGGACCTTCCAAATCCAAAAATACAATCAGATTTCAAAAATTTAAATTTTGATTTTTCGAATTTCTGCCGCCGACTGTGACCTTGCCGACTTCCGGCGCTCCCAACGCGCCATTTTTAGAGCTAGGGAAACGAAATACATACCAAACGATAGATAATTGATCAAGGAACACGATAGTGAAGGTTTCAAGTCGATATCTCCCACCGTTTTGCCGCAATCGCCGCGGAAAGTTGAAAAAAGTCTATTTTTCCGAAAATTTGACCTTTGACCGGTCAAAAGTAGGTCAAATGTTGACCTAGGACCAAAAAATATACCACCAATCGCGAGATCTCGGCAAGAGCAATCCGTTGGTCTTTTCCGCTAAGCTCTACGACGCTCCGTTTTCAAACGCCAAGGGGGGGGTCGCACCAACCCCCCCCCTGCATGGGCGAAGGTGGCAGATCGCCGTTTACGGGCGAGGGTTAAGCTATGCCAGGTATGTAGGTACAGTCCGATATACAT